GACAACCCTTTTCAGGGTTTTATAGGTATAGAATACTCAGAAATGGGGCTTGCCCAAGGCCACATAGGCTGGCTCTTCTGGGATGTACATTGGGGAGCTGAACTCCCAGCCTCTGGCTCTGCAGCCAGATACCAAATTCACTGAGCTATCTAGATACTATAGGTATGCTTAACAAACAACTTCTACACGTACTCAACAAAATAATGGCTAAAATCTTGTTACATATCTATGCATGTTCAACTCGAGGTTGAACATGTGGTAGTTGTGCAACAGCTGAAGTGGAAGTGTTATCCTCAATGTACTTCCATCTGTGCATTGTGCAACTGGTTATGCTAGGCTTGCCCAAACACCATGGAGCAATCCCTTGTTAGCACACTTATTTAAGCCTGTAACTTTAGATTACACCAGCATGAACAGGACAATGGCCAATGTCAAACTAAAAAAGAGAAAATGAATAAGATTATGTCCATCTAATCTGAGAATTTCATATGTAACATTCAAGAAATGAGAATCCAGCAGGAAGTTACATTCCTAGACATTTAGGAAATGGATGCTTAGACAGGCCTTAAGTGTGTTTCATGGTTTAGAGATGTGGGATACCAAAACATGAGCTTGCTTTCTTTTCATTTTCACTTCTTTTAGGGAGTGTTTTTTCATTTTAATGTTTTTTGTTTGTGTGCACTAGCCCTTGTTTTACACAAAAGAAACCACCTCTTTCAGGTCTTTTTCTTCTGCTTTCCCCTATTTGTGTTTTCTGGCACCAATTCAAAAATGCCACAGGGAACCCATAAAATCTACCCACAAAAACGAGAGGAGTCGCAACAGAGAATCAATGTACTCCAAAAGCAGACAACAGCCCCCCAAACCCCTATCAAAATATATACCCGTAAAGTAACAATTTTAAAAGTCAACAAATAGGGAAAAAACACCCCTCCTGCATACAGGAATAAGCCAGCAAAATAAAGCACACACATAGAGCCTTCTCCCAAAAGCCACAAAAACATACGCAAGCAAAGGAAGGAAAAAACTACAATCAAAGCCTCCCTTGCCTCAGCAATAGAATATAAAAAGATTTATTCCCTCCCCACTATTTGATGCCTTATTTCTCTTACCTCCTTTGAATGCAGAACAGTAGCAAACAGCCAGGGAAACAAAACAACACAAGAAAGAAAAAACTGAAAAGCAACTGAAATTCCCTTAGAAATAGATGTGCGTGTATGTGTAAAAACGATCCCAAGGAGGCACTAGTATAAGGCAGATTGCCTGGTACCAGCACAAAAATAATCCAGAAAAATGAGGTGGGGAAATTCCCTCAAACACAATTAAAAAGGAAATAATCCAAGGTAAGAGTCTCAGGCAGCCAGGTAGGAAGGCATAAGGCAGCAAAAGAAGGAGCAGGTCAAGAGCTCACACATCCACAAATAGTACATGAAACAAGGAAGAACACTCTCACTTGGTTCCAACCAATCCTCGCCCTTTTTCCAGATTCAGAATTCCTGGTCCCCTTGGATGTTCTGACTGGCTTCTGAAAATCAGCCTTGCAACACCTCTGTATGAAAAATTTCCAAGGCAATTTGACAGGCAAGAGGTGAAAGAAAGATTTAATGAAAGAGGAACTATAGACATATTCCTGACCCTATCTTTTGTTAACATGAAGCATTTGTATTTACGAAGCTCTCTCAGGAATCAACAAAAGAACACAAAAACTCGAGTAAAAGCCTCTTCTCTGTATTTTTTACGTTCACTGAAACATGCAAGTTCCATCCATTAAATCTACTGTGTGACAGCTACTTTCAGACGGAAAGACTCAGAAACCTGCTGTCCACATGATCCAACAACACCTACATGCACAGTGTACTATGAGCCTACACAATAAAATGATGCCATTTTTGCGAACAGAGCCATTTGTCGCCTTCGGAGCTCTCAAAGGGCTTCCCCCCTGATGTCGAAGAAAGCCCTTTGAAATCTCCGAAGGCAAAAAGGCAGGGAGAAAGGGCAGGAAATTCTAATTCCCCGCCCTTTCTCCCTGCCTTTTTGCCTTCTGAGCTTTCAAAGGGCTTTCCGCCCAACATCGGAGGAAGCCCTTTGAGAGCTCTGAAGGTGCAGATCGCCTTTCTCTCCCCCCCCCCATGTGGCTTCTCTGCTGCCGCAAAAGCCATCGGGAGCAGCCCTTCGGGAGAAGCCGTGGGGCCGGAGAGAAAGGCGATCCAGCCTTTCTTTCCACACACATCCCCTCCACGCTTTGAAGAATGAACAACACTCATGCGCCCTGGCAAGCCGGGTCCTGGGAAGACCCTCAAGTGCAGGAAGAAGGCAGGGGGCGCGGGAAGGAGGGTGCTTACTCTTGAGTAAACCCCTCAGCCCCGAACTGAGTGAGGCTTGCTCACCAGAAAATCCATCAAAGATGGAGCCCTGGCCCGGCAGCGGTGGTGGAGGTAAGGTGCTGCTTTATCCTTTTAATTTTTTTTTCTTTTTCATGGTGGGATTGAGCTGGTGGGGTTGTTTTTTGCAGGCCCAGGGGCTTGCAGTATTTGGTGCTTTTTATTTATTTTGTATTTTTTTTTATTCGTCCGGAACGGATTAATGGAGTTTCAATGCATTCTTATGAGAAATGGGAAATCGACTTATGAACTTTTCAACTTACGAACGCTGTTCCGGAATGGATTAAGTTTGTAAGTCGAAGGTTGACTACATGCAAAGAAGCTCCACTTTGGTAGCACTGCAATTTGGAAATATTTTACATTGTCGCCATTCATGTAAGGCAGAGTTAACAGTCCATATTTGCTCTAAACTGGTTCATCAGGCATGCATGGCCCGAGACACCTGGATAGATATCCCTCCTAACATCTGTTGCTTATAAACATTAGGGCAAATATGGAACCCTCAGAAGATATCATCTGTTTCATCTGAAACTCTTCTTTACTGAACATAAGATATGAAGGTATTATTTAGGGTAAGATAATAAAGTAGATGCAGAATGGGACAGGTACAGTATCATTATTATTAAGTAGGGGGCAATGGAGATGGATGCTATAAAAATTGATTTACTGTAGGTGATCTGCTCTTCCTCTGGCAGGCTGCTGAGTGAAGAGAGAATATGAAAGGTCCCATCTGTATGTGGCCCCAACGGATCATCCTAAGGAACTGTGGTCCTTATACCGCCACCCCATCCTCAAATTCAGCGAAGTGTAATCTAGTGGGTAATTTTGTAGAAAACACTAAGAAACAGGCTGATTTTATCTAATGGGATCACCATCATATCAATCAGTAAAAGCCTCTTAGTAGCTTTTCTTTTACTTTATTTAGGAGGGAAATGTGGAAACACAGTAAGGGCAATAACTTTCATACAAACTGAGTTGCAACTACCCTGAGCTAAAAGAAAATGCCCTGAAGTATTGACAGCGGCATATAAGACTCAAAACAAATTCATGAAAATAATGAACAAACATATTGTTTATTTTACTTCTGGTAATTTTATTAAGGGGCAAGGTGACCCCTGGAAATATTATTCCACAACGTCTGTGACAGCAATTGGCAAGGAAAGAAATTCTGGAGTACTGGTGGAAAATTCAATGAAAACAGAGCAAAGCCGTCATGAAAACAGTGAATTCCTTGTTCAGTATTATTAAAGGAAGATTTTTTTTTTAAATTGCTTGTATTATATTGCTCTTACACAAATGGTGTGACCACCCTTTGAATACTGTGTTACAGTTGTGCTTGTTGTGCCTTGGAAAAAATATTACAGAGATGTTTAAAAAAAAGACAACTAAAATATTACAGTAGCAGAAGCTACTGGCTTATGCGTAAAGCTAATAATGTTTGCAGCTGTTTTGTTTTTTAAAAAAGGTGAGTAACAAGAGATAAGGGTGTATGAAATTATGCATATAATGGAGAATGTGGATAGGGAGAAACTTTACTTATTATCTTGTAGTATCAAAGGATTATCTGTTGCTTGTCCCTACTTTTTTGAAGTTTTGTGGAGTCTGTAAGGCTTAACTTGATCTATGGAAATGTAATGGAAAAATCTGAAAGAAGTGGTTCCTTTCGTGTGTAACAAAAGGAACAGCACCTGAAAGATCCAAAAACAAGGCACCCCCTAAAAGATCCTGAAACAATTGAAATCTAAAAGTTTTCCCCTTTGCACATTCCCAGTTACCTCAAATTTTAATTAAAAAACTTTTTAACTAAGTTTGATTTAGCAACACAGCAAATTCCATTAGTTAATTCTGAGGCTAATTCAGCTTATTAAAGGAAACAAAACCAATGTAGAAGTGCATATATAGTGAGGGATGGGTAAGACTGGAAGATAGTTTAAGTAGATTTGAGAAGTAAATGGGTAAAACTTTACCTGGAGACACTTCTTCTTTCTGTCTGACTGTATGGTCCTTTGTGAATTTCACTCTCTGATGAGCTCGAATGCAGGTCTTGCATAACCACTCAACACACTCCACACAAAACCCATTGGCTTCTGCATTATCTTCACAGCTTGTACAAACCTGGCAAGATTCGCTTGCAATAGCATCATTACTAGTAACAGTAGAACTCAGGCATGAACCAGAAGCATGCAGACCAGTCAAATATGAAAGCAGTTGGTCTTGGTCTCATCATCTGAAAATGTTTTGTTGTACTATACAAATGCTCAATACCACGAGCAAGGTTTCAAACTACCACCAATAAAAAGATTCATTCAAAAGATTCAATGAAAAGATTCAAAAACTATCAGTTTTAACATACCAATTAATAAAATCAGTCTTTCAACTCCCACACCACACCTTTTTCAAATCAGCATGAACGTAAGAAGGTTCTATGACTTACACCAGCAATATTTTGGAGAAAGCTGTGTGTATTATGTGCCATTGTCAGATGTGATTTATAATGACCTGAATGGATTTACAAGGTACCTGAGTTTAGTTAGTACCAATACCATTTCTCCCTCACTGGCCCCTGTAAGTCTCCAAGACTGAGTAGCGATTCAAACCCAGATCTCATGAATCTGCCACACTATTCCACTTCACCTCACTGGACATTAGCTAGCTCTTGATTATTACCTTATCAAACTGGGAAATATTTCAAGTATTTTTAAAAGCACATTCTAAACAACATATAGTCACACATCACAATATTTACTGCTGTAAATAACTAAGTTTTCCTTGTAGACTGAACTCCCTCAGAAATTTGAAAATGCAGATGAAACCTTTTCTCATCAACTTGTATTTTTAGTTTCTGGATCACTTCTACAAACCAATATTCAAAACCTTACATGGCCAAGTGCGTGACAGGAAATGTCTCTGGACTTCTTTACTTACAGCAATTAACCACTGTAAGTGCATCTAATAGGATTTTGGCCAGTATATTATTGTCAAGAGTATTTTTCTTCTACACTCAACACAAGTTGATCAACAGACAATGCAATCTATAGAACTCACCTGATTTGACTTCTCCACTGTACTACTAGGAAATTCAGTAGTATCCTTCACAAATATGTTATCAATAATGTGTCTTTCTGCACATTCCTGGCCACAAATTGGGCAACGAACAACTCCAACTGCGGAGACAAAAAAAATTATGTGATCAATTAATAGGTTTTGCAAAGTTTATGCATTAATATTTCAACATTCCCTTTAAATAGCAAGCAAGGCATTTTCCTTTCATAGGCATGATTCCTAATCATAGTCATATACCATCCCAAGACAAACTCTGAATTGAGTTTTCTTATCTGAGATTCCGAACTGCAAAAAGAGAGGTTACTTACCTGTAACCGTAGTTGAGTGGTACTATGTGAATTCACACTAATGGGTTAGGCTGTGCCTGCGCAGGAACCTTCAGAATATTCTAGAGCTGAAAAACTGACCAGTGAAAATGTTTCCCCTCTTTGCGCATGCTCCGCCTGCCCTAAGGTACCTTGGTTCCAACTGTCTGTCGCCGCTTTAAAAATTATATCCAGAGAGCCAAATATGAGCCGTGATGGACAGTGGGGAGGTTGGGCAGGACGTATGAATTCTGAGTACCACTCAGAAGTAAGAGCTCGCTATTAGCCAATTGCCAATGTATGGGAAAACCATGATGTTGTTCAGATGAAGATAGGCTGCTACTGGAGCCAGACACTTGGTAAAGGTTCTTGGAGCGGTAGCGAGCCCGACCGGGGGAGCGCAAAATTGATAGAAGGAACTGTTGAAGACAAATTGGAGGTACTTGCGGTAGTGTTCGTGTATAGAGACATGGAAGTAAGCGTCCTGCAAGTCTATTACCACGAACCAATCTCCTGGTGATAACAGCGGAATAATGGATTCCAAAGTGACCATCCTGAATCACCTTGGACAAATGTAAATGTTGAGGTATCTTGAGATCTAGAATTGGTCGCAAGCTGCCATCCTTTTTCGGGACTGTAAAGTAACGGGAGAAGCCGGTTAGTGCTTCCTGAGAAGGGACGCATTGAATAGCATGCTTCTGAAGAAGGGTGCCGACTTCCTCCTCCAGGGTAAGTGAGAACGGTGTAACCTTGATGTAACCGGTGGGTGGAAGGTCTAAGAATTCTAATTGGTAACCCAGACGAATGATGTGTAAGACCCAATTGTCGTTGGTGATTTTGGATCATTTTTCAAGAAAGGATGCCAGACGAGGTAGGTGAGAGACATCTGGAGGATGGCATATGTGGGAGTCAAATATATTGCTTAGGTTTCTTAGCCGAATGTCGAAGGGCTTGGTGTTGTTGTTCAGTAGGCTGATACTTGTAAGGAACATTGGCAGAAGATGACTGTGATGGATTGGATCTGTCCTGGAAAGATCTATGATGGCGGTAAGGTTGATGATAGGATTGTTGATGGTAAGTTTGATAGGAGGTTGCGGGTTTACGCCACTGTTGCCTTTGGTACTTTGGCAGTTACACATAGTGAGATCTGGCGATTTTCTTTATTTTGTGCAAATTCTCCATCACCTCGTCTTTCTTTTGATTGACTAGTCCTGCACCATTGAATGGCAGCTCTTTAATTCTTGTCCTGGCATCATCATTAATGCCCACAGATCACAGCCAGGCATGTCTCCGAAGGGCGATACCTGACGATAAAGAGTTTGAAGCAGCTTCAGCAGTGTGACGTGATGCTAAGAGCTGTCAATTAGCTAAGGTTGATGCTTCTAAGTGTGCACTGCCATTGATCTAGATTCCTCAGGTGCATTTTGGAGGACCAGTAAGTTCTTATTCCAAAGGTGCCTCTGGTATGCAGCCATTGCTGCCTGATAGTTAGAGATTCTTATCAGAAACAAAGCAAAGGAGTGAAGTCGGCGACTTTACTCCCTTGCACATCCAATTTTCAACCTTCTTTAGTAGTTGGTGATGCTTTAGAATGAGCTCCAGCCCTAGATTGAATAGATTGCACAACAATAGAATTTGGTGCAGGATGCTTTTCAAGGAAACCAGTGTCACTACTATGTGTCTTGTAGCAGTTTTCAGCACGTCTGGAAATCTGAAGGCATTAGGAGCTTGACTCCAGCATTCTTTAACTAGCTCAAGCATTGTTGGAATGACAGCTAAGCTCAGAGGAGGCACCTTATCTTGATCCAAGCTATCAAAAATCAAATCCTGCTTCGGAGGAGTTGATTGGTCTGTAGCAAGCTGCAGTGTCTTTGTCATTCTGAGAATTAACTGAGCATACGATGTAAAATCCTCAGAAGGAGAAGGTGGACGAAGATCTCCAATAACAGAATCCGGAGTTGATCTACTGGAGATTCTGATGCAGAGTCGGATTCGAGGTCTTGATCTGACGAGGAGAGAGAAAGGCTCCTTAAAATCCTCCCCAAAGAAGCTGCCATTCCCAAAGGGGAATGAGAGTGAGACCTTGGCTTTGATGATTCAGTTCTCGGTTCCTACACTGGGGGCGGATGAGCAGATTTAGTATGCAAGGTCTGCTTGGGTTTAGAAACTTTTTTACTTGACACCAAAGAAGCAGGGGCTGGCTGTTTCTGGGAACATGTGTTTCAAGCCTCTCATGCGAGGAGACACGCTTGCCAGAATGCTTCCTGGTGACATCCTCAATTAACGACATATCGTTGGTGCCAACACGGGGGTGAGGAAGAACTTGACGACTCCAATGGGGAAAGGCAGACGTATCTAACCTTCCTAGGTCTAACGTATTCCATCTCATACTCGGATTCATTGGAGTCGTCCCGGTAGCGATGTCAACCATGGTGTTGATTTACTTCGATATAAAGGGGTTCCTGTTGTTCCAAGCGAACCCGACGTTGGGAGGAGTGCGGAACCACCATCACCTTTTGATGTGGGAGGTGTCGACGGGGCGAGACATGCCTACGCTTTTTGACATGCTTCTGAGGAGACCGCGGAGGCGAACTCTCCGAATTGGATAGTTCAATGACTATCCGTCGAATGACTATCAGACGAAAAGGGGCTCGACCGAGGCCAGGCTGGAAAATGTCTCAGCCGTACATTGGCCAAGGATCGGGGACGAGCAATGGGCTGGTGTCATAGTGTGCAGGTCTACCAATGGAATATACCTGTCACCCTCCGACCTGCATTCGATGTTGTGTGATTTCTTTGAAGGGCCTTTCAAATCCGCAGACTGAGCAGCAGTCTGGCTCGCAGAAGGGTCTTTGTGTGACGGCTTAGAGGTGTGCTTTGCTTTTTTAGATTTCCGAGTCCTTATTTTTCTTAGGGTCTTTCAGATGTGGAAGTTGAGGTTGAAGACTTTTTTTGATTTATATGTTTTAGGTGAGGCTCGCAAAGATGGAGCATTTGAAACCGGTGAAACTGTGGTCTCCAGTAGATGAATGGGCAGTGCGTACTGGGGAAGAGGGTGTTTAAGCGCTGTCTTTGTCAGCTTCCTACACTCCTGACAAGAAGTTGGTTGATGGTGTTCCCGAAGGCAATAAAGACAACGGCTATGTCCATCAGTAAAGGGTATCTTGCCAGCACAAGAGATACATCGTTTGAATGGGCCCGAAGAGGCCATAAAAATCTGGTGGGAACTTGGACTGAACGGAGAACAAACCGAATGTAACACACAGTTACACAGTCCAAATCCACTGTCAGGGAAATTACCAATCAGTCTGAAATGAATATATAGGTACACCAAGTAAGTCCGTAATCAAGCCGAAGTCCAAAAACCGACTGATTTCAAGAGGGGATAGACAAAGTCCAAGACAAAAACCAAAAGCGAAAACAGTCCGATCCGTGATCAAAATATCCAGAGGGGCGAAAGAGTAGTCAGAAAAAACCCAGTCTGCATCAAAAAGCCACAAATTCCTAACAATTTTATAAAAAACAGCTCTAGTGAAGCCAAAGGATTTCTATTGTGGAGACGGCCAAAAGGAACTGAGGTACTTTAGGGCAGGCGGAGCATGTGCAAAGAAGGGAAACATTATCAGCTCTAGAATTTTCTGAAGGTTCCTGTGCAGGCGCAGTCTAACACATTAGTGTGCATTCACAGAGTTCACAAAGAAGAATTATAGATCAGTCGATGACAGCAAAACAAAATCCCTACCTCCCAGGAGCCTGAAAGATTATGCATGAATGGATAACCTCAATACAAAGTTGACTCTTCAACAATTACAGCTCACTCACAAATGGGATAATAAAGTTGTGATTAAGAAATGATTATTTGTAAAACAACTCAGAAAATGTTCACTTTGTAGAAAATTCTTGAATGTTATCCCCCAAATCCCCAGCAAAATGCCAGTCTTGTTCCAGAATTAGAGACTGCCATTCAACCTATTTTAATTACTCAACCAAAGTTAGTATCCTACGGCAGTGGTTATTAACCAGTAATACATATACCATGGTCAGGATCATAAATATTCTAGCTAGAACACAAGGCTTTTATTATACAAATTACTAAGAATTTAGTAAGTTGCTCAATCCTTATATCCTCCTGCAAGACGACATAGTGGCTGAAATAAATAGCATAACTTACACCATGTAAGGCTGATGATGATGTCGTCAGCCACAGCGTTCTTTCAGAATAGAAAATTTCCAGTTCCTCATGAATGTCCCTCTACAACTTTTTATTTCTGATAAAAAATTTATTTCACCTCCATGTGAGGTTTGTGCAAGCTCATTCCCTAATGGGTAGGGTTGCCAGATACATGGGTACCAAAAGGAGGACATAGACAAAAAAGTGGACAGAGGACGTATTGAATGTTTCATTTGACTCATTCCAGATTGAACCTGCAATCAATACAATTTTATTACAATAGCTGCCAAAAATGTCTCTTAGTGAACTGACCAAGAAACAATCATGTTAAAAAATAAAAAAAATCAATGGAGGCTTTTTTTCAAAATACCAAAAAAACATTATTTAAACAGCCAATTGTACCCAAACCCACCCCGTCCGGCTGCAGGATCCACAGCTACTCACACTCTGCACAAGCTCAGAGACAACCTTGCTAATCTGGATGCTCAAACAAGGCTCTGGCGCAGGCAGGGGGAAAGTGGCACTGGGCAAAACCAAATGAGGTGGCCTCCCCTCGCCCAAGGGTCATTAAGTTCAAGGCTGGGAAGTGTGGGAGTTGAAATCCCTGAAAGGGACTTTGAACACA